CAGCGGTACTATTTTGGCGGTTGGCAATATGGCGGTACTTTTTTGGCGGGAGGCGGTTTCTGTTTTTTCGGCGGTACCCGCCTTCGGCGGTTGCCGGTAGCCCCAATTTTGGCGTTATACCGCCTACTACCGGACCCGCCTACCGTGGGCGGTAATATACGTCGGGAAAACTCCCGAGGAATAAAATAAATTATATATCACGGGGGGGAGGAGAACTCATGTAAACACATGCCGTAGTCGATGGTCAGACCACGTTGACCACGCGTCACGAGAGGACGGAGCGCGCGCGCGCGGGGGGGGGGGGGNATAAACGGAGGCTGGGAGGGCAGCTGATGGTATCTACTGATGTCACGATGGCACCTCGTTTGGTTCACGTGAGGCAGGATTTTTTTTTTTCCGCCTGTCAATGTTTTTGCACCATACTTGCCGATTGGAAAAATAGAAGAAAACAAAAATCGTGGCCTACAGAAGCATTTTGTGTTTTCCATCGTACTGAGACTGACGTCTTATCATTGGTCTCCCGGTTAGCGCGGTCGATGCTACCAAAAAAGACACAAACACACTGCTGCTTGAGGCTGACTTACTGCTTGGGCATGTAGATCGAGGTCCAGCGCTGCAGCATGCTGACAAGAGACAGCGTGTTGACGAGCTCGATCACGCCCGCCGGCGTGTACTGCCGCATCAGCAGGGCCACCAGCTCCCGCGGCAACGGCCCCGGCGTCCCGCCGCATGCCCTCGCCATCGACAACGCCGCCGCCTGTCGTGAAACATCAAGAACAAGCGGTGTCGATTGGGTGTATAGGGAAACGATAAGTGACAGGCATCGGTAGGCTGCTACAGCAGCGGCAGTCGAAAACAAACAAACCAACAACGGTAGATGGCAGTCAACGTCAATGAAGAAATGTGGCAATCGAAAAACAGGCGTAGAAGGCGGCAGTCGAAACAAGCCGCACGCCTTCGCCATGACAACGCCGTCGCCTTCTGTGCTCAGTGCAAAATCAAGAGAAGGATGAGACAAAGCAGGAGAGGTTCAGACTCAATCCAGCACCTCTGGATTCAAAGTACCTCTCTCAATCTAGAGAAGGATCGTGGCAGGAGATGTTTTGCCCGCAGACTGAATGAAAAACCTCTGGATTCAAAGCAGCCCTCTCAGAGGCAATCCAGAGAAGGATAAGACAAAGCAAAAGAGATTTTGGTTTGTCCGCAGACTGAATGAAGTACCTCTATATTCAATGCAGCTCTCTCACAGGCAATCCAGAGAAGGACAAAGCGGCGTCGATTGGGTGGGGTTGTGTATCCCGAAACGAGAAGCGGTAGGCTGCTACCACAGCAGTAGGCAGTCTAAACGAACTAACACAGAAGAAGCCAGCCGAGCAACCGAAGGATGACAGACGGCAGTCGGCGTAAATAATGATATATGGCGGTCGAGACAAATAAACGAAGACAGATACCAGATATGTATGGCAGCGCTGATTGTAAAGCAAAAACAAAACAAAACACGTACTGTACCTTCTTCAGGTCCTCTCCTCCGTCGGTGTCGCCTCCCTCAGCAGTAGCGCTGGCCAAGTTGCTCACGGACACGCCGTTCCGGTGCGCCATGAAGGCGAAGTGCGCCCGGAGGATGGTGTTGTCCGCGGATGTGGCAAGCATGTAGCCCATCGTCTGGAATGTACCCGAGGGGGGGGGGGGGGTACTCATAGTCG